AAATCAATGAGAGCCCAACTTAATTCCGGTCTGAGGCTGGCAGCGGTGGCGGTGGCGGCCGCGACGCCAGGCGCTCTCGGGGCGGTCCCGCGCAGCACCGACCTTGAACTCTAACAAATCTCTCTCCAGCCCCCCGAGCCCTCCACCCCGCAGTCGCTCGTCAGTGACAGAGCTACTGCTCTGGCGTTCGGCTCTTCGCCTCCAGGCCGACTCAAAAAAGTCAGTAAAGTTGCCACCGGAGTTTTGCAAAGGGCTCTGGCTAGGAGAGATCGGACTTTGCGAATGCAGCCCTCCAGGGCCGCGAGGGCAAGGCGGGTCACTTAGTTCGTAGAAGTGCAAACCTGTGGCACCACCGCCGACAAAACGCTCCACGTCGGTGGGGTCTGCTGCGCGCCTGCTTTCGCTGTCTACGGAACACCTGGAGGAGCGGCGCGCCTGTGGTTCCGATTGTAGACCTGTCCTGAGAGTTCTGGGGGAGGCGGTAGAGGTGTCTTTGGTGTGCTTGAGTGTGATTTGAGCACAACCTTTGTGTTTACACGACCTGCTCAGAGCCAGGTTGGGCAAACGAGGAGGCATCTGTTCTGGGACAGACGAATACCCTGCGTGCCTGCGGGTCACATGCCTTCGGGGTCACAAATAAACGCACAAATGTGGAACACTCTTAACTTGACCTCCCCTTTTCTGATTCTGACAAAAGTTGGCCTCGAATTAAATTATTATCATGAACCGGCCCACACCGTATCAACCCCCACCCCCATTTCTGAAGTGCGGACACGATGACAAGATTTAAAAGGATGCTTTTCTTGAAGGATTTTTTTTTTTTAAGATTTCGTTTTTTTTCTCATATTCCTCTGAAGAAATCGACACTTCTTTCTGGAAATGGAACTCCTCATAAGGTAGTAAGTTACAACTTTGTTCTTAGGTTTTTCTTTTTTAAACGAATGTGACGCACTCATCTTAGACTCACCTGCCACTTGTTCACAGTTCTAAGAGATCTCCTCACAATAGACTTGTATTCATGGCTCCGCGATTGCTCTGGGAAAAGCGTAAGAACAACATCCACCTTCTTTTGGGAGAGAAAATCTCGCATAGTATGGACACGTTTCTGTGTCCTGGGTCGGTGGCGTTTGTGTGTATAACTGTGTGGTTTACAGACACCTGACCCAGGACGCAACTGAGACCATCAGGCAGATATATTAACCAGGGAACCCGTACTTGGTTGTATTTGACTGTAATTACCATGCTTACTGGCATAGAGGCAATTAAGATGATTGTGACTTTAAGACATTTTAAAATATTTTCCTAAATACTTGTCAAGACATATAGGTACTTTCAGACTTATTTTGAATTTAAGTATGGAATAAGATGCATAGCAAATAACATTTTAAAACATAAGTGTGGAGATTTATGAATTTTCTATTCATTTGATGCAGGCATTTTGTATTCTTATATATTTTTGAAAAAAATTGATGATTAATCAGTCGACTTAAAAATGGACTGCAATTTTCAACTGCATCCAGAGGGGGCGCCAAAAGCCCAGGAACTGCCCAGCTAGGAGAAACTGCGGGAAAACTTTGAGGGTGGTGGAGGGGGATGGTGTGTTCCACTCCATCAGGACTGCGCGCTGCTGAGATTTATCTCTGCAGATATGTATTCGCGATATTCCTTCTTGTGCAGATCCACCTCCGGGCAATCCAGTTAGGGAAACTTGGGAGGTGACCATCTATAGGGGACCAGTCCAAAAAAAAAAAAAAAAAGAAAAAAATCACTCGAGATGCCTGAGGTTTCTATTCTGCGCAGATCTGGAAGACTAAGGCCAGAAGGCCCCTATCCCTCCGTGCCAAGCGTTGCCTGGCGTGCCAGGTTCAGGCCAAGTATGGCGGGTGGGTACTATCAATTCGCAAGAGGGTCAGTGTTGCATTTCTGCAAGGGTGCTCACTCCCCAGCTCCTAATCAACAGCTCGTTTTGCTTCGATGTGACTTTTGGGGTCTCCCAGATCTCACCCGTCCTCCCTGACCAAGGAAGAGACTGGCAATCGTGACCTGGGTTCTCAAGTCCGAGTTAGAGACAGAAAGGAACCTGCTCTGGTTGTTCAGGTTACGGATCAGGGAAACTGAGGCCATTGTCCCCAGTTTCAGCCAGAGCATTCTTCCAAGAACTAAACGCACCGGGTCCCTAGTCTGATACCGGCGAGGAAGTGAAAGGGCGCAGGTCACGAATAGGGGCAGGCGACAGACTGCTCTTCACTAACTACGCGACTTGCTTTCCGGTTGCCGCTCTCCTGCCAGCGCCGAGAGGTCTGTCGCCTGGAGCCGAGACACAGAGGTGCGAGTGGATCCCAAGGGGGGACCTTGGGAAATCGAGGTCTGGGATCCCCCTCCTTCT